AAATTGAAATTCCAGGCGGCGAATCCAAGATTGTGCGCAGTTTGAAATGTGTAACCGTCATTTAATTTTGACTTCTTTTGTTCACCTGTCATGATACGGCAGGTAATTAATAATAATAATAATAATAATAATAATAATAATAAAAATAATAATAATAATAACAATAATAATAACTTTATTACCGTGTCAGTCTGTCTAGTTTTTACAAATAAAAACTAATTAGGGACACCGATCTACATTACTCTATAAATAAATAAAATAAGTTTACAATCTAGTATATGTACAATAACAGAAAAGAAAACCTATATAAATACAGTCTACAAATTATAGTAAATTAAACACGTTTGGACGCTATACACACCATAAGACCAGGTTAAATAGAACTGAGTCAGCCTTTCAAGGTTTGTCTAGTAGTCGCTATCTTCTCCCAGACTCAAATCCCCGAAATCTACCTTTTAACTGTTTGTTGAAAGGAAAAGCCAAACAAATCAAAAAAAGTATTGACAGGAAGTGATGCTTTAGATACTTGACTAGGACATGGAATTGATATTTTCTTCACTGTTTCTTTTAAAGGGAGTCTAACGAACTCATGTCAGGAAGACATAATGGACCTCGCCTCCTGGAGCAGCTTCTGGAGTATATTGTTTGGAACATTGGCACTCCTAATCTTCATTGGAAACCTATTTACTCTCGTCATATTTTCTAGACGAAAACTTCGCAAACGTCCACATTTCCTGTTAATAAGTTTAGCTGTAGCTGATTTGTTGGTTGGGCTGCTATCTCTTCCCATTTACGTTTCACTGCATATCCATACCACAGAGCAGTTGCTATTTGTTGCATTTGACTGTGTTGACATGTTAGCCGGCCATACATCTGTGTTCATACTGGCTGCAGCAGCGTTGGAAAGAATGCATGCCATTGGCTGGCCTCTCCGTCATCGCATGCTTAGCACACGTGTCTAAATGTTGACCATTGTGACACCTCAGTGCTTAGCTGCACTTGTTACATCGTCAAGAATTCTTTTCTTTTTTACAGTCATAACCCGTCTTCATTTTGTCATGGTCATCACATTTTCTTTGACCCACTCACTGTTACGACTTCTTGTTGCTGCTTTATCTGGAAGACCCTTGGATTCGATTGTCAAATTTACAGAGAAATGCAAGCGAGGAAAAACTTAGCAAGACACTTTTATTCCTCACAGGTACCTTTGTTGTCACGTGTTTTCCATTTGAGGTGTTAGTTGTAGTACTCAATTTATGCCTGTCATGTCGGCAGATACCCTTTGCTTCCGTCTACGTCATTAGACTCCTCCATTACAGCAATTCACTCATTAACATCATTATTATATACCCGTTACGAATCCCAGAATTTAAAAAAGCTCTTTTACATCTTTTTCCTTCGTTTGGATGTTTGCGGCAAAGACATCGAGGAAGGTATCGCATACACGGAGGAATCTCCGTTATCTCCATGACAACCGTAATAGACTCTTATTCTCTTTTGGGGTTTGAGGCAACGGAACAGACATCCTATCTATAACTGTTACGTTTTGGCGCTAAAGTAACCATAGTACAA